GGAGGCAATGAAGGTTCCCAGGATTGCAAATGTTATGATAGCATCAAAGTTCGAAAAGAATGGTTTCTATAAAATAAATAATAATATAATGATTAACTGTTCCTGATATGCTAAGCAACTAAAGGGCCTCAAGATCCAACGCTTACTGATGCTAAGCTGAATCCTGACTGGGTAAGAAGCAGTCAAGTAAAACATAAAAAAAATTCCACAATAAGCAATAAGAAATAAAAGCAGAATACAATCATCAAGGATATAATATAATCGGAGGCAGTAAGAAGAGAAGGAAGAAGTCCTCCCGAAAATTGAACCATCTCCTGAATTGACAAAAGGAAAGAAACATCAAACAGGTTCAAAAACTAACTAACAGCAATGCTTTTGTGGGGATTTTTCGGTCAACCAAAAGGAGTAAGAGATGTAGCATACACACCTGATGTTTTTCTGAGTGTTTGATATGTTAGCAAGCCCTCCAACAATCATCCCTGACACTAAGGTCAGTCCAGGTGTTGCTGAGCGCCCTACTGTTTATGATATAGCATTTCAAGATTGTTTTCACCCCTGCTTATTGTTCAGGTCCGGCAATTGTAAGTGGAGTGGCTTGATTGTTGATTTTCAGATTCAAAAACATCGAATGTTATGTGCCATCGATTTATTGATTTTGAGCAGTCTTCTCCTGTCAATTTTTTGGTTTTGCTGTGCTTTTTTTTTTAACACAATCTATCTATTTAATCAATGCATCCATTCACTACTCACTATCCGGCAATTGGTATGCAGAGACAAACAAAACGAAATATAAAGGAGGGAAAGGATCTCAATTCAGCATTTAGGACCATGTGCTCTAATAATGCTTGACTGCAAGCTGATAGTACTACTGAAATAGTTTAGAGTTCACTGTTCAGTGATCGTTTTAAAATATAAATGGTATCTATGTATACATTGCATTAGATATGTGTCATTCATCATCGCCAAGCTGTTGAGTGGTTATTCAGTGGTGGGTTTTTTTTTTCCTGTCAGAAGTAAGGAATGACTCTGATCCTGAATCTCTTCTCTTTGATATGTCTTCCTGTGTTCTTGTACTCATAGGTTGGAACTGGGTGTGCAAAAATCTTTCTTTCTAACAGGAAAAAAATATTAATAGAGAATTGCTGCCTAGCAACTTGGTGATATTTTGCATCTTGCCTTCCTGTTTTATTCACACACTAATCCAATTGTTGCAGAAGTGTTGAACACATGTTCACTTGATTTCAATACTGATTTTCATTATAGCCTTTAAGTGCTAATTGCATTATTCTATTATAGATTCATACCATGGATAATAATTCTCGTGCATCATTGGGAGACAAGACTAATACCTCCAAAGAAGGTAATATAACATCGTATCAAATATTACATGGCATGTACTATGTGTATGTGAACTTATATTAATTCAAAATGCACTGCAGTCGATGCTAAAAAACTTAAGAGGGAAAGGGATAGAATTCGATGGATGCTATTAATAAGAGGCGTCGTGAAGCCTATCATCGAAGAAAAAAGCAACATGTTATTGGTTACTGTAGACACACAAGCGTGCTGTGCTGTGCTGTTGCCGATCCGACTCTGACCCCAAGTCCCCGACCGTGGGTCACCGCGACGAGCTGGCTAGGAAGCGGACGCGCGGCGCGAGTCTCCCTGCAGGCTACAGGCTACAGGCAGAGCTCCATCCGGCACGCCGAGGATTCGCGCGCACGTATGCTAATGCTACGCGACGGACAAATCAGCAGCCCAATCACGCAGATAATATTCGCCTGCTGTCTGTCGCCCACGACTAACCTACTGCTCTGTCCTAACCACGGAAACTGCACGATTATATTACCTCCTGCGATTATATATATATATATATATATATATATATATATATATATATATATATGATCCCGGCCAGGAACGTGTACGTACTGCGGTGCGCGCGCTGCGAAACGGACAAGTGTCACCACTCGGGCCGGGTCTGGCTGCTGTGGTCTGCAGCTCTGTTTTTCTAAGTAGTTGCAATGCCACCGCTTTTTATATTTGTAAAAGAAATTGAGATGAAGTGATGATCATCATGACTTCATGAGGTGTGGATCTTGTGGGGGTCCCGACCCGGCCGGCCGGGTGAGCAGAGGATCGGCGCGCAGCCACGAAGGCAGCAGCTTTACTATTTGAAATTACAAGACATTTTTAGCTTTTCTAAATACATTCTTTTTTATTATGTATCTACACATATTCGTAGTGTATATATAAATAAGGGATTTCGGTGTTTCTACCCTATTTCAAACCTCAACGATGATTTTACCTCTCCTTTTTTAACTTTACGATTTTACCCTCGTTATTTTCAAATGAAGGCACCATCTATCCCTGCTTTCTAACGCCATTGGTAATGCTTGGATTAAATAGCAAAAAAGAAAAGGAAGGTGGACCAAAAGACAGCAATGCCCCTGAAAGGTTTTCCTACTTGTCCATCGCTCGTACCTGGCCTTCACTCTCAAAAAATCATCGGGCGCGGCTTAGAGTTCCTGACGGCGCCGCGCCTCCCGACGGCAGCGTGGCTTAGGGTTCCCGACGGCGCCGCGCATCCCGACGGCAGCGTGGCTTAGGGTTCCCAGCGTGGCTTAGGGTTCCCGACGGCGCCGCGCCTCCCGACGGCAGCGTGGCTTAGGGTTCCCGACGGCACCGTGCCTCCCGACGGTGGCGCGGCTCCGGGCAGTGGCGCTCTCTCTCCCCGTCGCCCTCCTCCTCTCCACCCCCCCTCAACATCCGTCTCGCGTCGGCGGCATTAGGGGCGCCTCACGAGTTGCCTCCGTCGTGACTGCTCCATGGGTGCATTTGGTTCAAATAAAAGGGGTAAAAACGCATGAGCAAAGTTGTCCTTTTGTCTAAAAGTTAATACCATTAGGTGGGCTTCACGGAGTGGGGGTAAAGTCTCACTTCGTTTTGAAATGGCAGGGATAAAATCACAAAGTTAAAAAAACGAGGACAAAATCACCATTTTCGCTTCAAAACAGGGGTAGAAATGCTTGAGCCCATGTAAATAAATAGCAACGGTTATTAAAACTAAAAATATCTAATAATTCAGAATAAAGGGAGCAGTTAACTATTATCATCACATCTATCCTAATCAATTCAACCAAACAAAAAAATATTGGATCATCTCATCCCTAAAAACAATTATAGATCGTTCCATCCCGTCTGACGTTCGTCGTAAGACCAAATGCACGCTCAGATTTGAAATGGGGAATGGACACCTGAATACGGCTATAGCTCTCCGGTTTGAAACATACACACACACTGCTCGATCGATATTGCAATGGAATCAGAAGTGGTGGCACAAAAAAACTACAGTACTCCACTGCAACATTTCCTATTACTCTCTCAGACGAGCACTACGAGTCTCAGACCTCACCTGCACAACCTGAACATCTGATACACACACTGGGCGAAAAAACTGCAAAAGCTGCCGAAAACATAACTGTTCTGCTTGCCATCAGGATTCAAACCAAAACCACTGCAGGAGGAGTAGTAGTGGTGCACTTGAATAACACCCTACCAACTCCAGGCCAAGCGCCGTGCCTCTCATGCCCTGCACCGCAGTCCCAGTCCCAGGCTCCTCCCAGCCTTTTCAGTTTTCCAACTGGCGATTTGACAGCACCCCCATCGCAATGCATGCACATTCAGCTTTCTCCTCTTTTTCATCCCTGCATAATGCACTCACTCCCACGTCCCACACGGCCATGGCAACAATATTGAGGTCAGTCAGGTCAGCCATTTCCGTGCATGTACTCCTATGTATGAATGGGCATATGCAACACAGCAAACAACAACATTGAGAAGGAAAATGCTTTGTTTAGCCATGTGTGATTAGGAAAATGAAGGTTTGTCTGATAATAGGACAGGATTAGGAAGGCAGCAAGCAAAGCTTACAAGAATCTGCTGTCAACCTTCTTGTCTCCCATTCATTGCTCCTCCCCTTCCTTGTCTCATCTGTGATCTGTCTACTACCACTCCTCTCTATCTTCTCCATTAGACTGACTCCAACAGCATGAACCCAAACGTGAGACCCATTTTACAGTTTAGTTAACGCATGAAAAAAAGAGTTAGGTACCCAAAACTTGACCTCTCCAACAGAGGCCCCGAGCAGCAAGCCCCAAATGGGAGGCGGCCTGTCACGCCGAGGTGGAGGAGGTGGAGGAGACTGTCGCGCCGGGGAAGCTCGCGGTGGTGGGGAGGCAGGATGCCACGCCGGGGCGGGCTCGGCGCGCCAGGGTTGGGCGGTCGCTCTGGGCTAGCTCGCCTCGCCGGCCAAGGTGAGCGGCGGCGGGGCCCAGATCCGTGCACCCCCGCCTCCTCCTCGCCGCACCAGAGCAGGGCAACGCGCGGAGGTGGTGGTGGGCCGCCGCACCGAGGTGGAGGCGGGCCGCTGCGCCGGAGCAGGGCAACGCGCCCGTGCTCGATCCCGTGCGGAGGAGGGAGATGGCGGAGGTGCGGAGGATGGCGTGGCCGAGGTGGAGGCGGGCCTCGCGCCGGGGCAGGGCTCGTCGCGCCGGGGCAAGGTTGCCGCGCGCGCCGGCGGGGAGGTGGGCCGCAGCGCGAGGCAGGGCGCTGCGCCACTGCGGCTCCGACAGGCCCACCACTACATGTTTGCGTCGTCTCTCTTCGAAGACGCAGAATTGCCTTCCGACTCGCCGAGTACCCAGAATGGATATCTTATTTCGGTCTTCCGTTTGATGATGGTTTTGGCTACCCAATACACTGTGCAGGGTGCATTTTGCATTTAGGTTTAAGCCGTTGGAGACAGTCTTATAAGCTCCCCCACACTCCACACTCCACGCATCCACAGCCCCCCTCCCCTCCTCCTCGGTTTGCTCATTCTTCAGAGTCCACTCCAACGTCGTCCAGAGTCCAGCAGACACCTCTCTCTCTCGCGCGCGCTCTCTCTCTCTGCGCCTACTACACAACTCTCTGTCTCTCTACTACGACAACTGCAAGCAATGGCGTGCCTGTCGCCATCGCCGTCCGGCCGGCGCCTGTCGGAGCTGCTGGAGGAGAAGCAGGAGCCCTTCGTCCTGGACCTGCACCTGCTCGAGAAGGGCTGCTCCTCCTCGCGCCTCCTCGACGGCTACGACACCACCGCGCTCTGCTGGCCCGCCGCCGCCGCGGCCGTGCTCAGGCGCCACACCAGCAAGAAGAGCAAGGCGACCGCTCGGGCCACTGGCGGCGGCAACAAGCAGAAGCCTGCCGGCGGGCTCCTCCAGCTCCTGCTCTCCAAGATCCTCCGCGGCAGCAGCAGAGCGGCGGCGGCCCAGCGGAAGCCCGCCACGCTGCAGTTCTCCGACTCCTTCAAGCTGGTGGCCGCGGACACCGCCACCAACCCGGCCGCCGTGTTGCCGGCGCCGTGCTCCGACCGGGATCGCCACATGGAACTGGACGCCGTCAAGACCGCCGCTGCCGCCGCCGACGCCAAGTGGCAGGACGCCGCGGAGCGCTACGACTCCGACTCCGACTCCGACGACGAGAAGCAGCAGCTGAGCCCCGTCTCCGTGCTGGACCACCCGTTCGAGAGCTCCCCCGTCCACGGCAAGCTGCTGCTGTCCCCGTCGTCCAAGGGCGCCGCCGCCATGGACGTCTTCCGGGACCTCCTGGACGCGGCGTACAGCCCCGCGCTGCTCGCCCAGCTGCTCGCCAAGTCCGAGGACCTCCTCCTCAGGGACGCCGCGGTCGCCGACGAGGACGACGACTGCTGCTACTACGGCGGCGGCTACCGCACCAGCCCCAAGCACTGCCGCGACGACGAGTCTGCCGCCGCCTACTGGGACGCGCACAGGGAGGAGCTGGCCCGGGTGTCCGAGCTGGTCGCGTCCGAGCTCCCGATCTCCAAGTTAAGCGCCGCCGACGTGCAGCCCGAACGCCGCGACGTCGGCGCCGAGGTAGCGGACGCCGTGTTCGAGGCGCTGATGCGGGAGCTCGTCGTGGATCTCCAGAGCTGCTGCTGCTGATCGCCATCCATGGCGGTGCACGTCTGCCTGTCCTCGCGGCCAAGAGAAAACAGAGGAAGGGGTGCTCTGCTTTGCTCTGTTTTTCGGTTGGGCACATGCATGATGTGACGGAAAACATTTTGTTTTCTTCCTCTCTTTTTTGTTTTTGTTTTTGTTTTTGGAGTTTCGCTGGGGTACCTGCTGGTACGTGGGCCCTACGGCTCCGCGTTTCCTTGGCATTCTGTCAGTGCCAGGTGGTGGTGTAGACTAATCAAGTAACTAGCCGTAATAATATATTAATTTTATTATTATAACTTGGAGGTTGGCAACTTGGCATGCAATAGTTACATTGGAGTGAAATTGAATAAGTGAGTACATTCCATTGCTAGATACTCCCTCCATCTATGAATGCAAGGCGTGCATTGAGTTTGGAAAAGTCTGTGCAAAACAGATTTTGATCATTATTTTATCTTACAATATATATTGTAAATCGGTAAAAACCAAAGTCGTCTTAGAGACACTAATACAAATGTTGGAGCTGAGTGTGTGCTCAGGCTGCCCGCCAGCGTTTGAGCACCGTCCGACGCGTGTGCCTCACCTCCTCTTAATGGTATCCGGGGAACTCCCCCGTGCATTCAAAAAAATACTTTGAATACAAAAGCATTATTGAAGTTTTGTGCCCTAAACAGGAAAATAATATGACTAATTGTTTGGGGGGATATGACCCCTGTTACCTATAAGACAAGACATGGACTGCATCATCAGAGGTGGCCCAGCCCACAAGATTAAGACGCGGCACGGCACTGGTCGCCGTGCACCGTAAGATATTATATAATATCAAATATGATACTTTCCTTGTAACCCTACCCTCCATAGTATATAAGGAGAGGCAGAAGTCCCCTAGTCTACAACTACTACATCTCAATACAAATACAACAAAGACACATGACGTAGGGTATTACGTCGATCAGACGGCCCAAACATGTCTAGATCGTTGTCTCTGCGCCTTGTGTCACCATCCGGTTCCTATCACGCGCACCTCCACCGATCAATCTACCTTCGTGGGATACCCCTCGGAGGACTGCCGAGCATCATTAGTCGACAGTTGGCACCCACCGTGGGGCCCATGCGCGCTGATCCCTGGCGAACCAGATGGCGTAACTCAAGATCAACATCCTTCATGGCAACTCGGCTGATCACGTCGACATCCTTCGACAACCATGGCGCATGTCTTCGTACGCGGATCGAAAACCGCCAAGCTCCGACTACGTCCATCCTACTCCAACACGAGATCAACTTCGTTCTAGCCGTCAAGCGAGCCGCTAAGCGAAAGCGCCCGCCGCTATTTCATCACCATTGTTGACCGGACATTCTATCTAAAGCTAAGTTCATATATTTTTCTAAATATTCTCCAACCTTCATATATCTTCACCCATTCTATATATTTGTTCATCAAACGATTTTCATCGTATACCATCTTAAAGATGACATCGGACTACCGTCTAAGGAACTTCTCCACCGATTGGCGCTTTCGGATGTCCCCGCTATATTCATGGACTTCCCTACGTCGCCGAGTTTCATCCTCTGCGTTATGGGTGGTCGGCAATGGTCCTTAGCGACGCTTTGTTCTCCCTACTCACTTACGGGCTCCAGCTCTGCGTTATGGTTAACGGGCTAGTTAGGGCTGAAGACTCAGCTACACACTAACTAGTCGGACGGTTTATATTAAATATAAATACATCTTTAGAATAACACTAAGTGTTCACTTCAACTGATCGCCGAGCTGCATATGCTATTTCATCACCATTGCTGATTCTTCTCTGGAGTTCATATATTTTTACATCATGTACTACCCATTCTATATATTTATATTGCAGGATCATCGTCTAGGTGATCGGACCACCTGGTGCTCGGACTTCTCCACCGATCAACTGGTCAAACCGCTACATTCATGGACTTCGTCGATGTTTGATGAGACCGCCACACGGCCGCTTCTACTCAATGCTCGGTGCTCGGACATTGACCGAACTGTTCGTCGCTCGTGCTTCATCATTAGCTACGCTGGGGGCTTACTAGCTACGCCGAGGACTCCTCGATGTTCGGACATCACCAGCTACGCGGGAGACTCCTCGGTGCTCGGACATCGCCAGTTACGCTGGGGACTCCTCTGTGTTCGGACATCGCCAGCTACGTGGGGGACTCCCCGGTGCTCGGACATCGCCAGCTATGCCGGGGACTACTCGGTGCTTGGACATCGCCAACTACCCCGAGGACTCCTCGGTGCTCGAACATCACCAGCTACGCTGGGGACTCCTAAGTGTTTGGATTCTTCGTGCAAGCATCGCCAGCTAAGCTGAGGACTTCTTTGGTGGTCGGATCTTGCTACGTCTCATCGGTGTGTTATCAAGCTGCTCCATGCTGTTTGGATCAGGGTGCTGATCTTGGGCAGCACGTCTGGGGATCTTGATACATGCATGTTAGATGACGTCGGCAAGCTTTCAGACTTCTTTTCTTTGACCATGCTACAAGATTCATTCTTCATCTTCCTGCAGGCTTGGGGACTAAGTGGCTACACTTCACCTGGTGATGAATATAATGCTTATTTCTTGATTTACCCTCCTTATTGACGGAGTCTAAGTGGCTACACTTCTCCTAAGTGGAAGAATTTTCAAATTTTATCTTGAACCCCTTACATCCTTCTAGCAAGCCTTACTTGGCTAAGTCCAAGATCTCCTAACCAGTTAAACTGGTCGGCTTCGACCTTCACCGCCCAGGTCACCATTAAACTGGTCGGCTTCGACCTTCACCGCCTAGGTCACCAGTTAAACTAGTCGGTTTACACTTCCACTGCTCGGATCACCAATTAAACTGATCGGCTTCACGTCAAAGTGTTTGGACTTGTTTAAGGCAGCGTTGCTCAAAGGATACAAGGCGCCCAAGACTAGTTATGGGGGATATGACCCCTGGTACCCACAAGACAAGGCATGGGCCGCACCATCAGAGGTGGCCCAGCCCACAAGATCAAGGCGTGCACGACACTGGTTGTCGTGCACCACAAGATATTATATAGTACCAAATATGATACTTTCCTTGTAACCCTACCCCTCCAGAGTATATAAGGAGAGGCAGGGGTCCCCTAGTCGACAACTACTACATCTCAATACAAATACAACAGACACATGACGTAGGGTATTACGTCAATGAGACAGCCCGAACCTGTCTAAATCGCTGTCTCTATGCTTTGTGTCACCATCCAGTTCCTATCACGCGCACCTCCACCGATCAATCTACCTTCGTGGGATACCCCTCGGAGGACCGCCGAGCATCATCAGTCGACATTGTTAGAAAAAAATTGTAAAACTTCACTTTGCACTAGTCGAAATACCTCTTATATATTTCTACTATAGACAGAGTGAGTATTCTTATGCAAGGAATTGGATTTGAAATGACTATAACACCTTTACTAGGGATCCAATCGAAGAAAAAAATAAATTAATTCAAACGGTATCTCACCAATATCCAAAACACCCCACCCGGCCAACTTTAACATTGTTGTGGTCTACGCTCTCCTCGTACTCTTCCTTCTTCTAGTTCTCTTTTCTCCTTCTTGCTTTGTTGGTAGAAAGGGAGAGAAAGAAATGGAGAGAATGGCAAGAGATAGGGCGAGGGAGGTCGTGCTTGCGCAACTGGAATTCTACATGTATTTACTGGGTTGGACCAAAGTGGTGTAGCGAGGACATCTCTTCAAAATGCATATATCTTAGTTGCAACTAGGTGCTGTCGGAATGTGAAAGTCCTACACTCGTGACTTTACCGCTTACTAGACTGTACTGACTTGTTGACGTGTCCTGTGCTGGACAATCGAACAATGTACAATAGTGTTAAATTCAGCTCTAAATAACACAAACTTTCAAATAGAGGTTTCCATATGATATATATTATTGTTTGGTTTGTAAAACTATATTTATTTTATCCCATGGTCTCGTAAAACTACAGCATCTGTGGCACTATAACCAATATATTCATTCACGCAAATGACTATTAGTCAAAAATAAACACGCTGCGGAGATGCCAATTTTTTTTTCTTTTTGGTCGTAATGTCAAAGAACACGCTGCAGAGATGCCATAGCATGATTCAGCAATCAGCATGTTTTAACCAGGTCTGGTCTGACGACGACAGCTAGCTAGCACAAGGAAACAGACGCAACGCATGTACGTGATCGAGCAAGTCAAGGGCTTTTGAGCGGTTCTAATATAGAAGTTGTGGTTAACTAATCCTAACATTGCCCCATTCCGATGCACAGTCTAGTGTAATGCAATTAATTAAAAGAGCCACATTTGTCAAGAATCCAGGGATTGCAAGCCCGGCCGTTTCGCCACCAACCAGGCAAGGCAAGGCAACACCGCAACGGGACAGGACACGTCACTGTACTCTGCCGTTCCATTCCAGTTCCACCAACAGGCAGCAGCAGCGAATAGGTGATGCGCTTCCAAAGCCTGTGATTGAGTTATTATATAAAAAAAAGCCTGTGCTGTGATTGAGGGGCCGGACGGACAGTGACCGCAGAGCTGACCGGCCCGCCGGCCGGAGCAAGACTGTGACTCTGCGAGAGGGATGGGATCGGAGGAGAACGGCGACGGGCATGTGCTTGCATGCGCGGCAAAGCCGGGGATCCCCTGGCGGGCACCGGAGGTCCGGCGCGTGCGCGTCCCCGTCGGTCGTCCGCCGTCCGTCGTCCGGTCGCTTTCCGCCGTACACGTAGCTAGCACGGTGCGCACGCACGTACGTCAGGCACCGACGCGACCCGCTCCCCCACGCGCGCCGAGAGGCCAGAGCCCAGCCGCGTCGTCATCAATACCCGCTCGCCTCGCCGATCGAATTTAACACGCCCTGCGCTCGCTACGGCGCGGAGGAGCGGGCGATGGAGCCGTTTCAGGCCGGCGCGCCTGGTCACGGGAGTCGCCCAGGTGCCCACCGTGCACCGGCGGATTGAGCTCCGATGGAGCCCGGGCAGTCGCCG